CAAAATCATTATGACGTCATCAATGTACCTAAGCCAGAGTCTCGTATGGTTCAGATACAAATGATTAACATATACATCCTCCGTTTCCCATAGACCTAAATGAAGGCAAGCATAAGCTGGTGCCCAAGGGGCTCCCATAGAGGTCCCCTTGATATGTCTGTAGTATTGGCCATTGAATTGAAAATAGTTATTTTAAGGGCAAATTCCAAAAGTTCACCCAGAAATTAATTTTGGGGTGCTGCTAGTGGGCAATATTGTGTAAAAAAGTACTGTACAGCTCTTAGTCCACATTGTTGGGGAATAGAGGTATACGCCTATCCCCACCAAAAAAAGCATCCCTTCCCAATCTTCATTCCATTGAGCTTACACAGTACATCCCCTGTGTCCTTATCGTAGGAGGGCAATTCGAAAACTAAGTCCTTAAGTAAAGTGTCCAGGTATTTTCCCAGGTTCTCTAATGGGCCACCTACTGCTGACATTATAGGTCTGCCTGGGGGATTAGATTTATTTTTATGTATCTTTGGTATGATTATAAAAGGTGGGAATGTTGTACTCTTTAGTTTTCAAGAATTTAAACTCCTTGGCGTACAGAAGGCCCGCCTCTTTGGCCAAATCTAATTTGAAATTAAATTCAAGTATTAACTCCTGAAAAGGAGAACTTTTTAATTTCTCATATGTTTGTTCGTCTGTCTGAGAGTAAACGCTTAACCTCTCTAACGTACATATCCTCTGGTAATGGGACAACGTTCCCACCTTTATCACTCTTTTTAATGATTAAATCCGTCTTCTCATGTAGTTCCCGTAGGGCCCTTCTTTCTGATTTGGAAAGATTGTCCTCTCCTTTTCTCGACCAATTAGTTAATTTGAGGTCCCTTTGTACTAGGTCCTTAAAGAGGCTCAGATGTCAGTTATTGGTGAGGGTTGGCATAGTTTGTAATTTATTACATAATTGGGTCCTTCTTATCTCCCTGGGGGGTTCCTGTTGTTCATTTTCCTCCTCTGAGTTCTCTTCCAGTAAAGCATTCAGATCGTCAAGGGCTTTTTTAGCCACATCTGTGATTATGGTATCTACCTGTTCTGCCAATAGTCCTTTGTTGGTATGTAAATATCTCAGGTACACCTTTCTCAGATATAGGTTCAAATCCTTGAAGATCGTGAATTCATCCATTCCCTCCACGGCAGAATAAGATAAACCTTTTTTGAGGAGGTTAATATGATCTACGTTTAGAGGGAAGTCTGTTAAGTTAATAACTTCATTTCCTTCCCTCTCCTCCCCCTCCCCCTGTGGAGGGTCTGGACTCAAGTCTGTCTTCCTCTCAACCTGGTAGGTACCCCATCCCCCTTGTGATTTCCTACTTCTCTTTCTCTTTCTACACCCCTGTCTCTGCCCATATGTTTTTCCCTGACAGGTTTTTTGTCTTCCTGGGTATTCTTTCCGTCGTCTAAAAAAGTGACTGACCTCCATATTCCCTCATTTCACTCCGATGGTCTTTCCCCTCCATTCCTCTCCTTATTCCTATAGGGTCTCCCTCTTGATTGGCTCCGCCCTCTTCGTTGTGTTAGGTCAAAGATCTGGCCTTTCTCCCAGTCATCTATATCCCGCTGGAATTTAGATTGTTTTGTTGACCATAAACTCCTTTGAGTTTTGTTTTAGGTAGGCATCATGTTCTTTTAAACGTAGACTTTCTTCAATTTGTAGTTCTAAATCTCGCATTTGTAAAATCTCTTGCTCTTCACTCCCTACGCTCACCCCAGGTGCAGGTCCGTAGGGTGCTGGTGTCCCCGCTCAGATGCAGACAGGATCCATCCTGTCAGCGTACGAGCATGGACACGCACACTTGCAGGGGCATGCAGGGCAGGTGAGCATAGGGCACCATACGGCCCCTTAGTCCCATAGAGAAGGACGGGAGCTGCATACTAATCACAAGCAGCACCGGTGCTGCCCGATACGGCCGTGCACGAGGCACGGAGCTGGCCTTTTCTCATGCGAATGAGGCCTAAGGGATATGGGACCATAGACAGCACAATTAACACACTTAACTACACCAGTAAATAATCAATCTATAAATACACTGCACTAAAATTGGAAGTAAATTGGCCACGGCCTTTATTTATATCACACACTTAAATGTATCTTAAACCATACCTTAAACACTTAAACTGGCTCAGTCACCACGACTCGAGCCAATCAATATAAATAACAACCTCCACCAGCCAGCCACGCTAAACAAAGAGGCTGGCACCCACCCCCATCCGACAAATGAACCATATCATGCCTGTAAAGGCCAGGCAAACCTCCCTCCAGATGCACTGAAACTGCCTACAAAATTTAGAAAGCAGGTGATTGACTCTCCTAATTTTTTCTAAATGAAACAACGATGGAATTGTCAAACCACAATTTCTGAAAAAACTATTTGTATATCCGGGAAACTATGGAATTGCAGGCGGTACTTATAATAATAAATAAATGACACAGACACCGAATATTTGGAACAAAAAATGGCCGCGGCACTTTTATTGGTTTAATAATTCTTCTTCAAACTGATTTTAATCAAAACCGTTATCTTAAACCATCAAACCAAACGTAGATTGCTCAGTCACAAAACTCAAGCAATAACTGAACCATTCTAAACCATACTTAAAGTCCCCCTCCAAAAAGAGGTGACACTACCACATAAAAGCCCCGCGACATGATGAATCAAACAAAATGTTGAAATTAACATATTCTACAAATGCCATAAGGGAGGGAGCTTGCTGTGCTGAAAATCCAGCTGAGTGCCTCTTTGCCCTTGCGTGTTCCTTTTATAGGCAGCCGTTAGAACCTTCTAGAACGGCACGAGCCATGGATTTTCCCGCCTCCCAACAGGTGTCTTAAAGGAGAATACACATTCTAAAGCCCTGGAATCTTCTAGAAACGGCCCGAGCCAGGGGTTTTCCCGCTCAAACTATCAGGTGATTTTTTTTATTTATTTTTTTAAAGGGGAATACACTTTATTATTGATAAAAATGTATTTATACGTATCTATATTTTTTATTTATTTACATTAAATTACAGACAGTTAAATACTACAACATGTTTACCACACATTAATGAAATAAGACCGCCACAATCCCATGAAAGTGGGAGCCCAAATAAATTGGGGCCCACTTGCAAATTCTTAATGACTTACAAATCGTATTTTATATTAAAAACAAGATGTAAAGTCTTGCGACGACCCTAATCGTTTCCACCCAAGTGTATAATTAAAATTTGAGGGGGTTGGCCAAGCCTTACACAATTCCCAAAAACAAGGTAACAATTCTTCCCAAAGCATACACCTTATTCCACTCCAGAGCACCAAGCACAGATCTGTATCGAAACCGAGGTTCTCGGTGTAAACCTGGCGAAGTGCTCTCCTATTAGCCCAAAACACGAAGGAGTGGCCGACTATACACACCACAGTCTGCGCACCTGAGAAAAATGAGATAAATGAGGTCTAACATAGGTCTTATAACAACTAGAAGACCACGTACCCAAAGAACGGATATAAGAAGGGGAATGACCTGCCACTGATGCGGCCGTAGCAGCCCCGATATGGAAAAAGTGGGATGTAATTGTCACCTGACTCAAATTTAGCTTGACCAAACAGCGTTTCCAAACGACCCCAAATTGAAACTTGGACAAGGGGGATCCGGTCGACATGTAAGAAAAAATGGCCAAGACCTCCCATTCGCAAATTAAAAAATTTGAGGACAGAAACATCGGACAAACAGTCAACAAAAGATTGTATGGTAACCCATCTACCCCTACCTAGTTGATCTGTTTTACTCCTAATAATTAACCGAAGTCAATCAGCACCAATGCAAACATCACCCAACAAAAGTCCATTAGTTTCCCGTTTCGTGGCTGGAATCAATTCTGAAATGCGCAGCGCACCAAAAAAATAAAACGCCAAAGAAAAAAGCAAGGACTCGTAGCTCGAAAAACAGACTTCAGAGGTAACCTCACAAAGCCGCCGTAAAAGAGGATGAGTAACAGGGACACAATCATCGGGCATAAATGAACCCTTACGAAAACCCTTCAAAGCCTGGCGCACTGCAAAAAAACCCTCAAACATGAAGGTTGATGTAATAAACGCAAGAAAAAGGATATACCAGACAGAGACTTACAAATATGCGCATAGGAATAACCTTCCCTGATCATACCATTCACATAGCGCAAAACAAGCTGTTCTGAAACTAATACATCACGGGATGAAGAACCAGACAGGAAACTCAGCCAGCCACGCCATGCGGCCAGGTAATTAGCCCATGTTGCCGGAGCCACTGATTGTTTAATGAAAGTAAGAGCTGCATTTAAACCCGGAACATATTTAGACCCGGAACATATTGAGCCTTAACCCACATATTATATTCCAAACATTTCAAAACCAGATAGCGCATTAAACGTGTGACCAGAGGGGACTTAGAGGACAAACAATTCAACACAAACAACAGACCTTTGTTATTGGTGCGAAACAAGATTCTACGATTGTGGAATTGCTGTCCCCAAATCTCCACAGCAACCACTATAGGAAACAGTTCCAGGAATAAAATATTGGAAATTTAAACCTCAATTAAAAAAAAATGCCGCAGCCATTTGTTGCCAAATAAAAGTGTCGGTGGCTTATTTTATATTTTAGAGTTGGGTTTGTTTTTATTATGCATAATGTCACTTGCAGTTCCATGTTTGGGGGGTTGAAGTAATTTTCAGGCCTTAAATGTGGATTATATCATGGGTGCAAAAAAAAAAAGGCCTCGATCACTAAGGGGTTAACCAGAGTCTCAGGACTGACAGGTTCATCTTGATCTCTGCAGCAGAACGGCTGGATGGATATTTGATGTGGGCGGCCAGTCAGAGAGAGAAATAATTCAGAGCAGCAAGAATAGTGATGCCGCAGCTAATGTCACTCTTCTCACTCAGCTGGCTGTGGTAGTTTGGTCAGCACGGCTTGCCGTAGAATGTTTTGCCTGGTTGCTAAGTAACACACTCTGGTGATTCAGGCCTGCGTGCTGTTGTCGAGCCTTCTGTAACTTGCCACACGGAGCGTATGGCTGATTGTGGTGTTCGCTCGGACACAGGAGTGACAGTCGGCCGCTATGTTCCGGTGGCTCCTGGGCGGTAAAGAACCGCAGGGCGGCGTGGAGGTAAGGGGTCTTCAAAATGCTGCTGAGGAACCAAAAGTCCCAGAAGGCTTTCATAACCTTTTGCTGCTTGTGCTTTTATTTCTAGACAGCTAGAGTCATGCCAGCCTTGAATTAATGAGGAACTGTGTGTCCCTGCAAATGGCCTGCTAAGCCTACGAGGCCTACAGGCAGAATGAAAAATCTGTGCATTGTTTATGTCTGTGGCCCCCTTGGCCCCCCGGGGGGGGGGGGGGGGGAATCACAGGGACAGGAAGGCACAGACAGCAATACAAACTTCAGTTCTAAACCTTCCCCCAATGCTAAATATTTCTGTGTAGCTGTCGGACAGATTTTTCCAGCACTTCCTGTCCTGTGTATCATAAACAATTGCCCTTTTTAGGCCTCATTCACACTAGAATCGGCCGACACGTACAGCTCCGCGCACGGCCGTATCGGACAGCTCCCGGGAAGGACATGTGCTGTGGTTGATTAGTACGCAGCCCCCGTCCTTCTCTATGGGAATATGCGGCCGTACGCCGCCCAGCACGCGGGTGTACATACTCGTACGCTGACAGGGTGGATTATGTCTGCGCCCAAGCCGGGACACCCGTGCGGACCTGCAGGACAGGTTAGTGTAGGGCGGTATATGGCCGCATACTCCCATAGAGAAGGACAGGGGCTGCATACTAATCACACGCATCACCTGTCCCGGGAGCTGCCCGATACGTGCCGGCCGATTTCCCATGTGAATGAGGCCTTAGAAGCACCACAAATCTTCAGTAGCTTTTTACCTGCTTCCCAGCACTGTCCTGTCCTCACGCTGTCCGGCGCTAGTGCGGCCGAATGTTTTAGACGTTGCAGGCGAGGAGCAGTGGGACGCCCCTTCCCATCTGCTGTGTCCGACACATTGCGTCGCAAAATAACCACGGGAGGGGATCTCTGGTCAGCGAGCCACCTTGCGTTCGCATTCTGCCAGTGTTAGCATTGCAAACGAATGGTAGATCGTGAGCCGGCTTCATGGCCACCCCCGGTATACAGTCATCTCTCCAGTAAATGCATATAGTCATGAGGCGGTGGCAAAGAGGCTGCGGGAGATCAGCAACAGCAGATTTATTTTTTTATTTTTAGGACATTTGTTTATACACAGTGCTTTACACACAGGGTGTCATTGAGTTAGGCTCCATCTTAGAGCTTATATAAGATTTGTATTGCTTTGATCCTTTCATGGTTACTGATATGCTGGGACGGGGATACAGGGGATGCAATGTTTACGTTATTGGAACACTGGGGCTGACTATGTCGATAATACTAGATGGACCTTTTCATTTCATAGCTCAGTTTGCCTGAACTTCACTTAAGCCCGCTCAAAACTCTGACCGCCACCCCCTCCTCCTGACCCAGTCCGTTGTGGAGAGGTGCATTCCCCACCCCGAACCTATATGTCACAGAAGGGTGGGAAACGTCGTGGCCACAACTAACCCTAACCCCAAATTAGGTATGCAGGATGTGGTGGCCATCAGAGTTTTGAGGGGACTTGGGAACTAGGTTTAGACCAAGCCCAACTTCATCTCTACTCAGGACCAATAGGAACGACCGCAGTGACATTTACTTGGATGCTTGCTTTGTATTAAACTGATGTGGAGAGGATGTTGTTTTTTCTTCTCAATGATAAAGTTTCACTTTAAACGTTAAAACAAGCCCGTCACTATGTTTCTAAATTATTTTTTCAGTTAATTGGCTATTTTTTTTTTTTCTGCTTAACCTCTTACCCAATATGGTAACTTAACTTCCTATAGCGCGGACACAACAGCAAGTGAGAATAAATCTCTCCAACGTGAAGTGAAATCCCCTCTTATATACACTATATTGCCAAAAGTATTGGGACATCCCTCCAAATCATTGGTTTCAGGTGTTCCAATCCCCTCCATGGCCCCCGGTGAATAGGATGAGGCACCTCGGCGTGCAGACGCTTCTACAGACATTTGTGAAAGAACGGGTCGGGGGCGTGGCCGGGATGTGAGACTGAGCAGACGTGTCTCACTGCAGCTCCCGACATCCGTGCTACATCCTGACCCTTAGCTAGCTGACAAACCGGCCGAAATACTCACCCAGTACTGTCGGGTGATCCGGTGACTCCTGCCTTCTCCTTGATGCGGACCAGGAGACGATCGACCCTGTCCCGAGCGAGCGGTGGCACTCCAGGCCGGCCTGCTGACACGTGCGCCGGCGCCATCTTGGCTGCACGAGCTGCTTCTCTCACCTCTGCAGGCACACAGACGGCGGTGTGGGACGACATGGAGACGGATCATGTGACTACTCCTGTAAGTGAAGCCCCCCTGTCCCCTCACTCCTCTCAGGACATAAACCCCCCAACTGCTACCTCAGGGGGGCACACACAAGATATCCGTAACCTCCAACGCTCATTGGCGCAGTTGACCGCACGCTCGGAGGATGCTGAAAACCGGTTGAGACGCAATAATGTGCGGGTAGTGGGGCTACCGGAGGGGATGGAAGGCCCAGATCCGACATCCTTTGCAGAGACATTCTTTAAGGAACTCCTGGACCTCCAGTCGGTCTCCTTGGCCTATATCGTGGAGCGGGCTCATAGAGTCCCTGCCGCCCCCCGACCCCCTGGATCACCTCCTCGCCCATTTCTCGTCCGCCTCCTCAATTTCAGGGATAGGGATCTGATCCTTACTACTGCAAGGAAGAAGGAATCGTCGCTGCTATACCTATACTCGTTGCCGAACAGTCATTTCTTCCGATATTTACAGTTACGCCATGCATTCTCTTCACAGTTCCCCGGGATATAGACACACTCCTAAAGCTTGTGGACGCCTTCCCTGAAGAGTTGAAGCTGTTACAGCGGCAAAGGGCGGAGCCAACCCAATATTGAACCCTATAGACTAAGACTGGGATGCCATTAAATACCATGTGCGTGCCGTCCCAATACTTTTGGCAATATAGTATAGTTCTCACTGGAAAATGTGTTCCTATTGATTTCTGATCTATTCATGTTGTGGTTACTGTAAACTTTATAATTTAACTCTTTGTGTAATATCCCATTGTAGAAGACCGCAGTGTTAAACATTGGAGAAGAGCAGATCCAGAATCCATACACCGAGCTCACAGCTTTAACAGGTCACCATGATATAGTGCGTTTCCTTGTGCAAGTGGATGAAAACAGGTAAGACATACTCCATGAGGTTGAAGGCTGATTTGTTATTATGCTGTTGATAAGGCCGCAGGATTGTAGGTACACACCAGTCGAAGTTTAGATGTATACGAGGAACATTTCTTGTTGAGAGGATCAGTTTCCCATCCAGACATTACTGTACTACATCCGTCTACCTTGCTCCCTTCTAATCTGATCCTGGAATGCACCTGCTGATAATGATGGGACACCCTTCTTGCAGCAGATGCAGAAAACATGATCATAAAATACGTTTCTCACACTTACCAATCAGATTTATATATATATATATATAAATATTGATGTGATGATACAACCCAAGGGGAGCTATGTCTATATCTCCAAGTAATAAAGTGCACTCCTTACAGCCATAGATCTAAGAATAGGTGGGTGCTATTGTGAAGTGACAGATGGCACCAGCAGTAGAATTGTCCAAACGGGGCATATAGGGCTTTTTTTCCAGTGAGATTGGTTAAAATCTGGAACTCTGTGCCACAAGAAGTGGTATCAGCTGAGAGTGTTGAATCATACACAAAGCATTTAGATACCTTCCCCAGAGACCACAACATACAGGGGTAGAGGCACTCCTAAAAACAAGGACGGAAAAGGGACTCGTGTACACATATACAAATGCACAATCACACACAGACACACAAAGGTTGGACTTGATGGACCTGTGTCTATTATTCAACATTAAATACTAGGGATGTCAGACAGAGTGGCCTGGGATTTCATGGGTTTACGCACGGGAATGATGTCCCGGATTAATGCATTGTATCAGAACCCTATGGCCAGAGTGAGGATTAAAGGAGTACTCCAGTCCCTCTTTCTCCCTGATAATGGCACCAGGCAGGGATGTCCCTTATCACCCTTGTTGTTTGCTATATCCCTGGAGCCCTTCCTAAACCCGTATAACTGCTATAGTTCTCCTAAATGTACCGGAGAACTGTGGCTGCAACGGCCTGTGTCTTTTCAACTCCCCGCTGCTCTCCGTGCCTGTGTTGGCGGAGGCAGCGGGGACACAGAACGATGCATACCGCCGATACCTCCGCTGATGTGCCGGCTTCCTCTTCAGCCGTTCCGTCGGCTTCCCCCGGTCCGGACGATCCTCCGGTCTCCTGGTCCGGCCGCGGCTCCTCTGCCCCGCCCCCCTGCCTACTGTTCATTGCGGGCTGGGAGCCATACCCAGCCTGCTATTGTATATTCTAAAATGCTATAGCCAATAGCAAGCTGGCTATTGCACCCGTCCACTGTCTGCTGTCAATTAATTTTAAATAAAAACATGTTTTTATTATATTATAATCTTCTAAACAACATGAACAGACAGCAAAATAACTGTGACCCTTATCTATGCTATCCAAAAAAAAAAAAAATGTTTTTAGGCTGGAGTTAAAAAATGTATCTGTTCCAACTTCCATACAAATTCCACATAAGTACAAACCTAAAGTCCCGATCTTGTAGGCCCCCCCCGGGGACTGCCTGTATCTATGTACTGAGGATGCATCTCACTTTATAGGCAGCCGGCTTTATAGCTTTTCTTTTTATTGTAAGTTCCTGTGCATGGTTACCAATTCAAATCCCACTTGATGACCGTCTCTGTACCTTGTCATAGGTTTGCCTCAGCGTGTGACGATGGATCGGTATTGGTTTGGGATGTTCAGGTATTCAGCCTTTTAAATAAACGTTATTATTTGATAAGCAAATGTACATTTGAGTGCAGAGTTTCAGCATCTGATTCTTTTAACCCTCTTTTTTTTTTTAATGACTCTGTAAAGAATTTATTTCCCCCCCTGGATTTCTTTTCTGCTTATATTAAAATTGTTAGCTAGAGTAATCTAGATTGCCAAGCAGCACAAAGAGTACCTCAGGGTTCTCCTGAAAAATGGTTTCCAAATATAAGTGAATGAGAAAATGTTCCTATTACCAAGTCTTCCACAACAGAAATGTAATAGTTTGTTTTCCCAAACAAGAGAGTTTATTAAAACAAAATGACAGACATGACAAACAAATACAGTAGGGATGCACCGACCCCAAGTACAGTACTCGGAACAAGTACAGATACTTTTCCTTCTCCAAGTCTAGACTAGAGAAAAATACAAAAATTAGGAGGCGGCTGTCATTTGACTCTTGGGAGGAGCTATGCAAATGTGAAAATGCCTTGATGGGTAGATGTCAGTCTGGAATGGTTGGTGTTCCTATGCATGCGCACTTACGTGAAGACCTCCCTTTGTAACATACTCCCACATGTGACGCTGAAACGCCACGATTGAAAGAACTGAAATCCAGTGAATGAGACTGTGAGAAGTTTACAGTGTGCAGCAAAATCAAAGTAATCCATTTCAGTACAAGAGAGTAGTCTGTACGACTGTACAATACTTAATTGGTTGGGGTAAAGAGATCCATAGGATGGGAGAGCAATACTTAATTGGTTGGGGTAAAGAGATCCATAGGATGGGAGCGACTCGAAGTCCTGGATGACAGCTGCCTCCTAATTTTTTTATTTTTCTCTAGTCTAGAGACAGCTGCCCATTGTGAGCTCCTGGCATTGGTGCATCTCTGTTATAATGTATGATTCTGTTTTTATAAATATAAAAAGGATGCGCCGATACCATTTTTGTGAGTACAAGTACTGATACCGGTCCAAGTACTCACAGATACAAGTACTGATACTCGCTCAAGTACTTACAAGTACGAGTACTGATACATTTTTGTTTATTGTCATGTGACAGTTTTTCTAAAACAATACAGACTAATGGTTTCAGGACAGAGGTGGAGCACCAGAGCCCGGTCCCAGCTGCAATCGTTGCCACCCTGGGAGTTCTCATGATAATGCCAAGTATCAGCATTGGTACTCAAAGTATCGGTGCATCCCTAAAATACAATAAGCAATAAAAATGTTAAAGGAGAACTATGGGGTTAAGGCTTCCTCATAGTTCTCCTAAGGGTAGCGGGAGAACACAAACTAGCGTCCTCCCGTCACCCAAAGCTCAGTATATAGGGAGCTACAGCTCGCTGTTTACATGCTGACTGTTTCCCCACTCATGTGCACGCTGGGGAGGAGGGACAAGGACATCTTAAGGCCCCATTCACACTGAGCGATTTATCGAGCGATTTTTGCAGCGATATCGCTCTATGTAGCTTCTCCAATCCATTTCAATGGAGCTGTTCACATCTCGTCGCTCAATATCGCTTGTAGCTCGTCGCTGGTAGCTTGTCGCTCCTACATGACCCTTTTTTCGAGCGATATTGCATACAGCCCAATAGAAAAAGGTTGCGCGACAAGTCGCTCAATATCGCTCGGCACGCAGTATCGCTCAAAATCGCGCGATTTTCATGTCGCTCAGTGTGAATGGGGCCTAAGACGCCCTCCCGCTGCTACATGACTCGCATCTGCCAGTTCAGGAACAGCCATGGACGGGAGGTGGTTAATATTGGTTGATGCTCAAACCAATGTGAATTACACTATTTAAATCAGACAAGGTCATGTGATAGGTAAACTGCAAACTGAGCTGTTAATGATTTCTCTGGCTGCTCTATACTGTATTATGATCATACAGATAGTATCTTCCTCAGCAAATCCTGAGCAATAGACCTAAACAATTGGGGAAATGATCTGTAGTAATACATACTGTATACACACCCTTTTCTGCAATTCTCTTTCATGCTTTTACTTTGAGCAAAAATGAATTGATTTTATTGTATCTGTGTGTGTGTTTTTGTATTTTATTTGGTACATATCAGTTGCCCTATCATGCCTACCAATATTACTACTACTTTCCAGACTGGAGAAATCCTCTTTGAGTTCCATGGGCACACTCAGAAGATTACAGCTATAGCTGTATTTCCAGCCAGTGAAACGTCTCACATAAAGAATGACCTGATACTCACTGCGTCGTCTGATAAGACTCTAATTGTATCCTTAACGCTGTTTAATCTGTTTATATTTTCTTTTATTTTGTCTTTCCTGATTCGACTAAACTCCCCCCCCCTTATCGACATGCATTCAAAACCTTTCTGTTTTCAATACACACCATATTTTAGACCCAGTGACATGATCACTGGGTCTCTATGCAATGCAGGCAGAGCGTGGCTAGTGGGAGGGGCAACATGGTGCTGTACATAGCTTCCTAAACAATATTACATCACCCTGCCCCAGTACTGCTCATACTCCTCTCTAGAGCACTCGGCCCTTATGCTACCAGTGAGTTGACTCTTGGGAGGAGCTATGCAAATGTGAAAATGCCTTGATGGATAGATGTCAGTCTGGAATGGTTGGTGTTCCTATGCATACACACTTGCGTGAAGACCTCCCTTTGTAACATACTCCCACATGTGACGCTGAAACGCCACGATTGAAAGAACTGAAATCCAATGAATGAGACTGTGAGAAGTTTACAGTGTGCAGCAAAATCAAAGTAATCCATTTCAGTACAAGAGAGTAGTCTGTAGGACTGTACAATACTTAATTGGTTGGGGTAAAGAGATCCATAGGATGGGAGAGACTCTATTGAAGTCCTGGAGGCGAGTATGGGAGGAGTTGACAAGGGAGCTGGCAAGCAGGAGGTCTAGGGAGGAGCGGAGGGGATGGTTAGGGTGATACTTTGAGACAAGGTTGGAGATATAGCCGGGGGCAGAGTTGTGGATGGCTTTGTAAATTATTAATATTTTGGATGTTATCCTTTGGGCGAGTGGATCCCAGTGGAGGGATCGGCAGAGAGGGGTGGGGGATGGAAGCCAGTGTAGGGACTGGCAGAGAGGGATGGAGGATGGAAGTCAGTGTAGGGACTGGCAGAGAGGGATGGAGGATGAAAGTCAGTGCAGGGACTGGCAGAGAGGGATGGAGGATGGAAATCAGTGCAGGGACTGGCAGAGAGGGATGGAGGATGGAAGTCAGTGCAGGGACTGGCAGAGAGGTATGGAGGATGGAAGTCAGTGCAGGGACTGGCAGAGAGGGATGGAGGATGGAAGTCAGTGCAGGGACTGGCAGAGAGGGATGGAGGATGGAAGTCAGTGCAGGGACTGGCAGAGAGGGATGGAGGATGGAAGTCAGTGCAGGGACTGGCAGAGAGGGATGGAGGATGGAAGTCAGTGCAGGGACTGGCAGAGAGGGATGGAGGATGGAAGTCAGTGCAGGGACTGGCAGAGAGGGATGGAGGATGGAAGTCAGTGTAGGGACTGGCAGAGAGGGATGGAGGATGGAAGTCAGTGCAGGGACTGGCAGAGAGGGATGGAGGATGGAAGTCAGTGCAGGGACTGGCAGAGAGGAATGGAGGATGGAAGTTAGTGCAGGGACTGGCAGAGAGGAATGGAGGATGGAAGTCAGTGCAGGGACTGGCAGAGAGGGGTGGAGGATGGAAGTCAGTGCAGGGACTGGCAGAGAGGGATGGAGGATGGAAGTCAGTGCAGGGACTGGCAGAGAGGGATGGAGGATGGAAGTCAGTGCAGGGACTGGCAGAGAGGGATGGAGGATGAAAGTCAGTGCAGGGATTGGCAGAGGGGGGTTGCAAACACTGAGCGGTTGGTAAGGTGGCTGAGTATGGCAACTGCATTCATGATAGACTGAAGGGGGAGGAGCCTGTGTAGAGTTCGGCCAATGAGGAGGGAGTTACAATAGGCAAGCCAAGATATAACAAGTGAGTGGATGAGTAATTGTGGTGAAGGTGAAGGCGGCAGGATTTGGATAGTGATTGGATGTGGGGAAGACAGGTGAGGTCCGAGTCAAGGATGACATAGGGGGTAGGATAGTTGTGTTATCAATCTATAGGGAAAAGTGGGGTGGGGTGGGGGCATATCAAGAGCTCAGTTTTTGATAGGTTGAGTTTTAAAACAAACAATATACATCGCAGTAACTGAGCTCAGCTCTTTGAGAATGCATACAGTACATGTCAATCATCTGGCCCAGGTGCTTTATTCACAGTTACTTTGTTTAATTTTTTTCTGTACCATGAAACTAGAAACAAGTCTTTGAGTATTTGTATGTTTCTGGCCGTGGGTTTTATAAGCATTTAAAATAAAAAATGTCATGTGAAATAATCACCATGTCACATTAATTGTCCTCACAAACATTCCTTAATAGCTCAAGTCAGGCTTGGGATTGTGTAAGTGGACAGCAGTGGCAGAAAGCTTCAAATTTCCATTCTACTGTAAAGGTAAGTTAAGCGTGCTTTGCATCGGGATATTTAGGGAAGGTTCTCACCATTTTATGGACCAGATCTGGAACGCACCGAGTGGAATTTTTGACACATTCAATTTTAGGTCTTGCTGGGGGACCTCTGCAAGGCCTACAGATAGCCAGGATAAGAGCAGCACAATGCTTGCACATAAGAGACATGAACTTGCCACAGTTGTTCTTTTCAGAGCTGCTCAAATGATCATAGCCAGGGGCAACCTGGGCAGCAATGCCTCTCCTCTCATCCATCTTCCTATTATTGTTCTTATACTGCCCGTGCCTCGGATCATACAGCTCTGGGCCGGCTTCCACAAGTTCTACAAAGAATTCCGTGTCCGTTTTAGCCATTATGGTTCCTATCTTCACAAATCTCTCTCCCCTTAACAATACAAACCTAATCCATCACAAGGGTCACGCAGAAATATCAAGGGGAGAGGTTCCAACCAAGGGGAGGGAACTCAAAAACGTAAAGAATTTTCACCTACACAATACAGCTCCCAATTAGGGAAAACCCATAAAGGTCTTGATGAGGTATACGCACTATCCGAATCCTCTAAAAAAGTGCGAGGAGTGGTACCCCCGCCATCTCCCGATTGGGTCTGCCTCTACTGGGGTCTTGGGCCTCTTTTCATTTTCTCTCTCCTCTTTCTCCCCTCCTTGCCATTTGCTTTTATTCCTTCACGGTCTGAGCCAGGGTGAACGACTGGGATGCACACAGACTCCAAGGACAACTTCCCTCTTCATCTCCTGAAGAAGCGCTATCTAGTGCGAAACGTTGAGAAAATCAAGCTCCTCCATCATCTTCCATTATATAAATCATGTTATGTAATTATGAACTTTTCAATCATGCTTTTTCAATCATGTTCAATTGCACAAGAATTCTGATTGTCATCTACATATGAATTAATTTAATCAATGTGGAGTGAGTTTATAGGGGAATCATGTTGTCAATTTTATCAATTCTATTTGCTTTTTAATCAATTAAAATATACCTTTTCAAGAAATTCTTGGTGTGCAAGTTGTCAGTCGGCTGCCTAAAAAACCCCAACTTTTCTGACTTTTCGATATAAATCTCTCTCCCCACAGAAGCAGGAAGTCCAGGGGTGATGAGATCCTCTCGCTGACTGAGCTGTAGCTGTGAGGTTGAGATCTTTAATCACCGCAGAGGTGATGGAGATTTGGTGGAATCTATTTAATAGACTGACAAGCTGTGCTGCCCCTCTACCCCCTGCTGCCCCAAGGCCATGGTCTCGGTGGCCTTGTGTGGAATCCGGCCCGGACTGATGGGAGTTGGGATTCAGGCAGTTGCATCCATGTTGCACATTGACTTTATCCATGGAAAAATAATCCCTCCTTTGGCTTGGCTGTTTTAAGATGTTGGGGATGCTGCAGAGCAACAAGTGAGCCTGAGTTCTCAGCTGATTTTCTGGTATTCACAAGAGGTGTATCAGCAGCTGAGTATGATGGGTTGATTAGTAGGAGGCCTTTGTCATGTTTTAGGGCAAGTCATCAGTTATTACAGTTACAGTTGGTGGTAGATATTGTACTGTGTAATAAAATGTTATACTTTGTTTAAAAAACCAATAATCGGGCCTTCCTATCATTTATAATACAGACCTTGCTTATTGTGCAAAGCTTGGATGTGTGGCTTTCTGCTGGCTCTGAGCTCCGCGTGTGGAATCGCAATTTTAACCTCTTGGGTGAGGCAGAATTCTTATCTGACGGAGGTTAGTAAAGCAAAGGTGTTGTGACCCTCTGCCATGCTTTTTTATTTATTATTACAGGTATTTATATAGTGCCGACAATTTACACAGTGCTTCGCTATTCATTCACATCAGTCCCTGCCCCCGAGAAGTCCTGTGTTATAGGACTACACGTCCCATTATTCCTGGCCACTGTTTCCTGTCTTTGGACTGAATGGCAGTCGGAGGTGTAAGTGGAGTGGTGTACGGATTCTCCTATTAAGGTCTGGGCATTTTTTACCTTAATGCATTCTCTGCATTGGGGTAAAAACAGGCCAGCAACTTTTTTCAACCCCAGTCCCCTCCACACTTACCTGTCAGCTGTGCTCGTCCCCTCCACTGGTCCAAAGCGATCCTCCATTCGCAAATTTCGTGTGGCAGGGGGAGGATACTGATGGCATCCTTATGCCATCAATCAAAGAGGGAAGGGGCGTGGCCTGCCACAGGGCTGTGTTTGTCTATGGACGCACACAGCCACTGCGGAAACAAGCAGGCACAAGCGCGCACAGGTGCCTCCACTAGAACAATGGTGGCACCCATGAAGGGGGTGGGGGAAACTGCTGCGGGGAGCCACTAGAAAACGAGGAATTAGAAAAGTTTGAAGAAAAAGAGCAACAGCCTCCAGCAAAGGGGGTCTCCTTAAAGGAGAAAAAAAAAAAGGCCTTAATATGACTTTAACTCTAATTATCCCGCCCTCCAGTGACTATTCACGCTGACATGTTTAGCCCACTTAAAGAGGATGCCACTGTATGTCTAGGAAATATAATTATTCGGAAGGCACAGAGGAGAAAGGTACAATGTCGCCAACACACTGATACCTTTAGATGTGTCCATAGAGTTGAGCTTTAATTAGATCAGTACAACACCAAAATCTGAATAGGATCACAAGGCTTTGCTGTGTCCTGGATGCAGCGAGTCACCGCGGCTTGTGTGAAAGGATCAATTGTTGGCCATACCCAGACAGATGCAATTTAGGTGAATCTCCAGCCAAAATATTTTTTTTCCAGTTTTGCATACATTGGGGAAGGTTTAAAAATGTGTTCACAGTTTTCTCTGACACTGCTCGGGAGATTTACAAAAGATAAAAACAAAAATGATTTTATTATTACCTGTATCACCAGACGGGAAGTACAGAAATATTAGGAAATCCCCAAGAGGAATACAGACAGCAATGCAAAGCTGATGACATTCTTTCATTTCTTGTCTTGGTTAGTGTTGTCACCAGGGCAGGAAGTAAAAGGAGATTTCGCCAATCAGCTTTCTGGAAGCAAGATGTGTTTACCCTTCTCTACTCTAGCAAAAAAAAAAAGGTTTAGTTTGAGTTTCAGTTTAAAAGAGAACTATGGGGTCAGTGTTTTCTTAGTTCTCTTAAGGGTCCCGGGAGGATGTAAACTAGCGTCCTCCAGTGCCCCAAAGCACAGTATATATCAAGCTATAGCAGCTCACGTTATACTGAGACCACCGCAGCCGGGACGGATCCCAACATTACTGTCAAGATCCGCCCTGCTGCGTGACTGACAGCTGGCTCTGCCTATCTAGAGGCAGAGCCAGCTGTACCCGCCCCCTCCCCCGTCCGTTCCGCCAGTCAGCGCTGGAGGATCGGAGGGGGGAAATCCCTGCAGGGAGCCGTGAATGACAGTCACCGCTCTCTGCAGGGAGAGGTGAGTGAGCGGCGGTATGTGTTCGCTCACTTCCCAATCTATTGAGACGACGTGTGAGTTTCATTGTCACACGTCGGCTCGAACTATGAGGTGAGTGATTTTCACTCACCTCATAGTTCTCCTTTTAAGTTGAAACCGGAGACTGGTACCGCGATCACATATAAGAGAAGTACCTAGTGCTCATAACCCACTGATATGTACAGGGAGGGCAGAAGTGATTCAGTCACTCTGGAGTTTGACAGTCGCACACGGATGAGCAGATTTGTAGTTTGCAATGACAAGAAGGAATGATGTTTACTTCAATGCCAGAAGTTTACCACTTTATTTTCTCTGCCTTCTAAGGTATCGTGGCGTTGATTGAACTTCCCAAGCGTTGTGTGGCAGCAGCAGTTGGAAAAGATTTGAGTGAGTTGTTTGCGTTGAAAGAAAAACAAAAAAGTAACTTTCAGGTTTGTGATTTAATGGAGCACCAAACCCAATGCGGAAGTGAATTTCTAACTTTTGCTGCCAATTTGTGATAACACCTCGTTTATATTTATGCATGAAATGCTACGCGCGTTCATGCATGAGTCAGCACACTGGCCCTCATTTTAATGGGTCCTCAAAATATGAAATTTGACCTTTTATAAAGTACCGGGATTTACATATTAAGGTCCCCACACACCTTGCGATAATCGTACGATTACGGTAAGGTGTGTGGAAGCCGTGCGACCTCTACTACTGTAAGGTCGCACAACTTTTAACTTACGGGCATGTTCGAAA